ATGTGTATAAGCTGGCTCGCTGCTGGCTTGCTCGCTGACGGCGCCCTCAAGGCGAGCTGCAGCTGGACTGAGCCCCTAAGGCGAGCTGGTGCTGAATTCGATCGATCGGTGAGGCGTGTGTATTACACGCTGGATCTCGCTGCTGGCTACACACACACACGAACACACAACCGAACACACCACGAAAACACACCCACGGAGCAGCCGTTACATTACCTCCCTGCAACTCCGTTGCGCGGAGGTAATCAACAAATGTTGGTTGTTTAACGGTGGTATAAACAATGCCTGCACGCACACACACACGTATGCACGTATGCACGCACGGACATGCGTATATGACCACAGAGTATACAGAAGTGCAGTAGATTCAGTAGTAAGTAACCTAACCACTAATGCACTCCCAACACGTAGGGTTAAGCGACTGCTAACTATTATCATTTAAAAGATGGCCTCATCAAATGAAAATGAAGACCAATAAGGAGCAATGCTTACAAAAACCGTTGATATTAAATATCTTAGGATCGGACGCAATTATACTGACATCAAAGCTACACTGTTGCCTAACAACTTTACGGAGTAAACAGTTTTTGTTCGGTATTAACGAACGCAAGAAATAAGCGAGAGATTGATGGAGCTCGCGCAAGTGACAGAGAAAGAAAGAGAGAGAGCGAGAGAGAGAGAGAGAGAGAGCAGAGAGAGAGAGAGAGGAGAGTGAGAGAAGGAAGACGAGAGGGAGAGGAGAGAGACGGAGAGTGTGGTTGAAAGTGAGAGGAGCAGAGAGAGAGAGAGAGAGAGAGAGAGAGAGAGAAGAGAGAAATGAGAGGAGGGAAGAGAGGAGAAGAAAGAAGAGAGGAGAAGGAGAGAGAGGAGGACCTGAGCAAGCGGCGATGAGAACTGAGCAAGCGAGATAGAGAGACTGAGCAAGCGAGAGAGACTGAGCAAGCGAGAGAGGAAGAGAGAGAGAGAGAGAAAGAGAGAGAGATAGGATAGAGAGAGAGAGAGAAGAGATGGTTGAGAGAGGGAGAGAGAGAGAGGGGGGGGGGGGACGAGAGAGAGAGAAGTGAGAGAGAGACGCGAAAAAAGAGAGGCGAAAGCAGAGAGAGAGCACGCGAGAGCGAGAAAGGAGAGAGATAGAGAGTGTGTGTGTGTGTGTGCTGTGTGTGTGTGTGTGTGTGTGTGTGTGTGTGGTGTGGGTGTGTGTGATGTGTGGTGTGTGTTTATGTGTGTTGTGCTGTGTGTGTGTGTCTGTGTGTGTGTGTGTGTGTTGCTGTGTGTGTGTGTGTGTGTATGTGTGTGTGGGGTGTGTGCCATAAGGCCCTTAAGCGCCGCCGAAACAATTCTGTCGTGTGTGCGAGCTGGTTGCTGCGCGCGCCGGCGTCGTCGTGTGGTAGAACCGTGCCGACGGCCCCGATTTGACTTGTCATCCTGGGCCCCACGGAGCTTGTTGTGTGTGGTCGGATTGCCCAGCGGTCTGCAGGCTGCTGTTACTGTGAGAGAGTGCGTGCGTGTGTGCTGTGGTGCGTGGCGCTGAGGCAGTTCGGAGAGCGGACGAACAGGGCATAATGATGAATAAGCGAAGAACATGGTTGAATTAAGCCGCCCGAAAAACAGCCAGTGGTTTATCCGCCATTTCACGCTCTGCCCCTTGCTTATATGCATTCAGCGCTTGCAACCTAGAACGTCACCACCCTCGCATGCAGGTGACACTCCGCCTGTACGCTAATCATCCATAAGCAGTGCCATTCAGTGAGAACGCAAGCGTGGCCATAAGAGTAGAGAGAGCGAGAGAGAGAGAGAGAGAGAGAGAGTTGCTAATGTGTAAGCTAAGACTCACTTGTCACAGCGGAGTTCGCACTAGAAGACGTGCTATCACAAACTGGAAACCATGTTACTTTGCATTATACCGACAAATGCATGAAATGCCCGGCTGTGGCAAGCCCACGCCAAAATAAAAATCATTAAAATGTTGACTTATTCTTGTTTTTCCTTCCCCCGCATGCAGGGACGTAGGGACTGCATAATCTCCGGTTTGTTAATAATGTGCATGTTTACAGGAGCGTAGCTAACCCATTTTGTCTGGGGGAGAAAGCCACGTGCGTGCTGTGTTCTGGAAAGGTGACCCCCCACTGACCATATAATAAATCTACATTTCTCTGGGGGCTAACTACCCCCTTGCCCCCCCCCCCCATCCCGCTAGCTATGGCCCTGGTTGACATGCGTGCGTGCGTGCGTGCGTGCATTTGCTAATGCTAACTTCCCACTTGCACGCGTATTTACAGCCGCGCCTATGGTTGGCCATCGTACTTTGAAATAATTATTTTTACCGCAGTAGAACTAAAATTATGGCCGATTTTACCCAATCAGAGGCATTGTTCTACATAATTTAACCAATTAAAAAATTGGGTATCAAGGCGATCATATAACCGTGGAGTTATTTTTAATAGTGTTAGTCTGACCCCAAACGTTTCTGTTATACAGCGCTTAACGTGAACGTTCGGCCAGGTTGACGACGACAACGACTCGTGGTGCCACTCTAACCAGGCATGGCGTATTACGATTCGATTCTCCATGAATTCCACCGCAACTAATTAAATCACAGATCATCCACCGCCCACCCACATTCTCGTGGTTATGTCTGCTTTATAGAAGCCATGGGGCTATATGATTACGTTCAGTTAGGGTTGGAGTTACAGCAGGGTATTAGCTAGCAATGAGAAAGTGGGAGTCTCAAATGATCCGCACAATTGTGTCTTAGCAATGAATATCGTAAGGGGACATGCCCCTCCCAGATTTTTTTTTACAATAATGGTGCAATTTCGTGCATTCGGTGGTATTCTGAATGGTAAAAAGAGCGTTACAGTTGGATCAAGTTTTTGTACATTAAGAGACCTTTTGCCCAGATAATAATATTCAACGTTATGTCATGACGGCTGGCCGCAAATTTTACATGTGATTTTTTCTTAGACTTTTACAGTTTATTGAGAATAGGACATGGTCCTTTTTGCAAAAATAAGGCAAGTACAAATGTACAAACACGAGCATATTAGAAATTCGTTCACTGTAATAAGCGCATCGCCGTCGTCAGCCGTTGTCAGCCGTCAGCAGTACAATTGACTGTCTAGTGCAAAATTAGGTCGCCAAAAAGACTGCGAGACGGCTCGCTAGCTAATACCCTGGGTTACAGTGACGATGATGATGATGATGATAATGATGATGAAGATGCAGGACTGGGATAAATTTGGGTTAGGGTTACAATAAGGTTGGGGTTAGGCTAGGATTAGGACTATATCAATACTACCCTTACAAAAATTTAAGCAATCCACAAGCGATCGAACACATCGATTGCTTGTCGATTGCTTAATAAGCAATCAGATAAGCGATCCTCTGCACCATTGAGTGCTTATTTGAAGCACTCGTTGATCGCTTGTGGATTGCTTGTGGATTGCTTAAATTTTTGTAAGGGTAGGGTTGAAGTCAGGGTTACAGTGATGATAACAGTAACAGTGATGTATGGATAGCGTTCCTGAAATGCCCCCCACCCACCCTCACCTGACCTGACGCATAGCTGCCTACCTGTGTATGATGTGCTCACAAAGGTAGTGCAGTGGCCACTACCCCCTTTCCCTGTTTACCCGCTATCCCCTGGCCTGCCTACCTCCACTTCCACTGTTCCCTGCCCCACCCAACTTTGTACCATATGCTCTGAGCATAGACAGCCCTGATCCATTGCACTACCTACACCCTCGCTCCTGCCCTCCTGCCCTGCCTACCTGTGTATTATGTGCTCTGAGCGTAGGTAGTCCTGCGCCATCGCGATCTCCACGATGTACAGTCTCACTCGCTCCTCGTCGAACTTGATCTCCTGCTGGATGTGATAGCGAAGGTCGCCGCCCATCAGCAGGTCAACGACCATGAACATGTCCTCCTCGTCTTGGAAGGCGAACCAGAGGTTGACGAGGAACGGATGTTCGATCCGCTGCAGTATGTCGATCTCGCGCAGCACGTTGCGGATCGCGTCCTTCTTGATGCACGCCTGCTTGTTCATGTACTTCATCGCGTACATCTTCTTCGTGTCCTTCTTCTGCACGATGCACACCTGCGGGGGAGGGGGAGCACACAGCGACGGTGAGCGTTAGTTAGCCCTTACTACAAGTACAGCCACGAGAATTACTGCCTGCCCGTTGCTGCCGCGTGATGAGAAACACCGCGTCACTCACGCTCAAGGGGTCGTTGTCGTATCAGGTACTACAGATAATCAGATATGTACCCGAGGTACATATATGTATACACAAAGTGTACCAGACTTGTACTACAGAAGTGTACCCTAACCCTAACCCTAGCCCTAGCCCTAACCCTAACCCTAAACATACCACATACGCCGCGGGTACATATCTGTAGTACCTGATACGACAACGACCCCATCTGCGTCATTCACTGCCAGCTAGAAGTCTCGCTTACATCACTGCTGCTACTAACACTAGTTGTAACTGTGGCCTGTGTCGTCTCTGCTGTTACTACTAGCCACAAGTCTTGCTAATCAGTAGTACTATTACTACCAGCAACAATTGCTAATCATTACTATTACTACCAGCCACAATTGCTAATCATTACTATTACTACCAGCAACAATTGCTAATCATTACTATTACTACTAGCCACAATTGCTAATCATTACTATTACTACCAGCCACAATTGCTAATCATTACTATTACTACCAGCAACAATTGCTAATCATTACTATTCCTACCAGCCACAATTGCTAATCATTACTATTATTGCTAATCATTACTATTACTACTAGCCACAAGTCTTGCTAAGCATTACTATTACTAATAACCACAAATCTTGCTAATCATTACTATTACTACTAGCCACAACTCTTTGCTAATCATTACTATTACTACTAGCCACAACTCTTTGCTAATCATTACTATTACTACTAGCCACAACTCTTTGCTAATCATTACTATTACTACGAGCCATAGGTTGGTGTCTCGCGAGCTCGTACGGTGATAGTCACCCATATGCCAGCGACAAGTATCTACTATACTGTAATCACCCAAGTTATTACTGCTGTAATACTGTGGAATATGCAGTGCAGTGAGCACCCTTAATGCTACAGCAGAACTGGTAGTAACAGCTTACTCACTTATAATACATTCAAATCGTACCAACCAAGTAACCACCAATTGCTGTTGCTACTAACCACAAGTAACCACCTCACTTATCATTGCTGTTGCTACTAACCACAAGTAACCACCTCACTTATCATTGCTGCTACTACGGTGGTTCATACAGGAGGACTGAAAAAATTTCCAAGGACTTTTCAAAGACTTTTCAAGGACATTTTATCGGAAATTCAAGGACATTTTTTCAGACATTTTATCGGAATTCATACACATAACAAAACATACCTGGATTAATCTAATAACCCCATTCTTAATCACTGCATGTCACCTCTAAAACTTACCTGGATCACATTAATAAACCCTTTTAAACACTGTCACTTCTACAACATACCTTGATTTACTGACTGATTTTACTGACTTACTGTAATTTGTGATCATCATTTAACTGTGAGTGTCTATCGTGTCTATAGCTTTTTAAGCTCATTTAACGCAATTTTTATTGAGGTTTGCACATTATTGATGGTACCAAATTTCTTTTTATTACAGGCAAGGATTCTTTCTTAAAAATTCAAGGACTTTCAAGCACAAAATCAACATTTACTAAATGCAAGTACTGTTCAAGGACTCCCCTCAAATTCAAGGACTTTTCAAAGACTGTGCAAACCATTTTTTTAAAAACACGCGACCGCATGACTGGGTTCTCCTTCAATTTATATATATATATACATACAAGATGCTGTTGATAGAAAGCAAGCATGGGCGATGTCTTCGCGCAAGATAGACTGATTGAGTGACCGACTGACTGCCCACACTTGCGCTCGTAGTAAATAATTAAATGCAATGGATGATGTACAAGTCCGTGGCAATCTGACTCGCTCATAAACGGGCAAACTTAAAGGGACACATGACCCTAGGCTCCTTGCATATTGGTATTATGAGCTCTTGATATTTTCAGTTTAAATTTATCGGTTTAAATTACGCTACATCAAAAATTTAGTTGTTCAATATTCAGTGTTTCTCGTTTGTTAATTTAAGAGGATAAGGATTACAATATCTTATAAACAACTTATAGATTCAGTTATAATATGTTCGGTTAAATAGCAGTTATGTATAAATATAATTAAACTTTTGTGATTAGCCCTTGATTTGTAATGTGCGAAATAGATAGGAAAAAGCACAACTTCTTCAGGGTCTCAGTACAGTCGCGTGATCGCTGGGTGTCATGTCAGCTGGTAAAAATAAAGATTTCGAAATTAATTGTTTAGTTGTTTTATAACAATAGTGAATGCATGATTATAGAAATTTGTAGGTATATACTATTATTTATACACTTACTATCATAATATACCCTAAAATTCTAGGGTGTAGTGTCCCTTTAAATTACAGTCTCCCGCGTAGGAGCAACCTTATCGATACGGTTCATACACTGCCGTGCATCCAACAGTCACGACTCTCAGCTGCATGTTAAGCAACAACAACCCTCAGTGTAAAGCCATCTGAACTGCTAGTGTTATTAGTTAAGCCGTAGGGAATCGGTAAACGAAAGTGCCTTACTGCACCTGCTAAGCGCCACGACATCGCAGCCCCCCGTCAGGCAGGTCTGGCACCGCGACGACACGTACCTCAACGCATTACATCTGTATATATATATATATACGCCTAGCGATTCCCACCTGATTAGATAGCCACACACGCAACCCTGCTGTGATTTTAATCTCAGTTGGTGAGCAAACCAAAGGAGGAGATAGCTTTGTCCAGCGAGGGTTTCACCTGCGTCGAACCGTCGATAAACCTGCAGGGCACTGAACGGGACTGCTTGCGGACGTATCATGATGAAGCTTATTTGGCTTCATCATCATTTCACTAGCGGTATCTATACAGTCTGCGCACACGAACGCAACTGCACGCACGTGTATATATATATATATATATATATATATATATACTGTTAGGTTTTCTATTCTGTAGTAGCCTGACAAAAAGACACCGTATTTCCATATTTCTATTTACATTCAGTGATACATGTCTATAATGCACGATCATCGGCAGCGTTCGCGATTCGCTCTGTAAATTCGAGTAATCGCAATTTGATCAATTTGTTACGATGACATAGCTGTAGTTAGCCGGGGAATACAGTGGAAATGTTTGCGTTAATCATTAGTCCATGGCAGCAGCACGCGCGGTCTTCCCACGGCTCTCTTTCTCTATCGCTCTTGCTTCCTCGCTTATTATATTGACGTATTGACAGCAAACCCACAGTTGACGACGCGTAATGAAGTTGTCATTTCATATAATGAACCTGCGCTACCACATCCCCATATCACGGTTTGCACCAGCAGCTGTTGAGAGTCGATAGCTTCTCGTTTTTCCCCGACCCAATCATGAAATTAATGGTAACTTACGGGGTAAAATGGCACACTTCTAGCTGCAAAACATTTCCCATTGGCTATGCAAACAGTGGCAATTTATTTCTGCGGTGAACTTTCGGGAATGATCAATCATGAGAACTCAGTCATGAAATGAGATTCCCCTGCAAATTTAGCCAGAGCTGTGGGAATCTCACTGCTAGAACCCTGTGCATCATGCTCGAAACCATTACCAAGGACATTGATGAAATTGCATGATAGTCGCTCACATTAGTCTACTGAGCACACAGCACAATCAAAATCCGTTCACGAGTGTTTGGTTATTGTGCAAGCCCCAAATGATCTTCATCAAATGATTATCGTGACACCAGCAAATAGCCAATAATCACACTACTATTATCCTCTCGCGATCCCTCCCTCTCGATCCTTCACTCACTGTTCACTCTTCCTTTAACCCTCCTCGCCTCCCTCTCCGTGGCCATCATCTCTCTCTTTCTCCCTTCACAATACTATCTCGCGTAATTAATGGAAGCACCATATGGCTTCGTGATCGTAGAGATTGGATATAATTACAGTGGGCCAAATTATCGTCATCATAACACAGAGACAGCAAGTGCACTTAGCCAGTGAATTCTATCGATAACAGAATGGTCTATACTCCCCACACTGACTCATTCCCAATTGCAGTCGACATCTTTTACGAAAACACACCACGATGATACTGCGATGTTGATTCCTTATGTTTGATATTGCTGTGATATTATTGCACATCCCCATGGCCAGGAAGTTCCGTCTGGGATACACGTCGTAATTACAGAAGCAGTGACAGTTCAGCTTTAACTAAACCTCAACTCCTTATAGCTTACAGTTTCAAACAACAACAACAACAAGCTGGCCTATAAAAAGCCTTCAGCTGTCAGCCTTTATATCGACTAGACATTTGATCTACTTACGATAAACGTACGCATATCAATACATATATAAATGCTAGAGAAACTACCTAGCAACCTTGCCATCTTCGCATACCGGTGTGCATCAGTGGGTTTGATTATACTCCATCTATCTGCCACGCATACCATGTAATTGCATTCGACTCTCGAGAAAGGGTTTCTCTAGCGATACAGTAGAAATCTCATCTGCCAGCACCAGCTGACATACTGAAGAAGGATACCAAGATCGTGCTGCTCTATTAATAAATATTTAGCTAGCAAAAGTGGCCAATTTAATCACTGTATTCACAATGAAAGTGTCAATGACACTGTAGCTCACCACAAAAAGGACACAAATGAGTGAGTGAGAAGAAGTCAGTTTTAATTGAGCAACCATCGACGTACATTATAGAAATGAAGAGTATATATGGGAGAACTCCCATTATATACTCTTGATAATTATGTGTAATTTTTTATGTGAAAATAATAAACAATATTATATATAAATTATAAATAATTTATAAACCAAAATGAATCAAAATTTGTGACGGTAGATGGTGCTACTCCCGCTTTGATGTTTCTTAGCATAAATCATTATATTATAATAATAATATAATAATAATAGTATAAATCATAACATGTTCATAGCAGGAATTTTGCATTAAAGATATTGTCAATGAAATCTTGTAAAACGAACCAGACGAGTGTGACACCACAGAATGTTTGTTATCTGCGTGTCTATATAATATGCTATATAATTGCCAAACCCTACCTAATTTGCATAATTTTTTTTTTAATATCAAAACCCCTAGCCCTTATTCATTCACATACCAAAAATGAGCAAAATGCGTTGAACCTGAACTGACTAATGGCAATTCCCATTTTTGCCAAAAAATTGCCGTGGCTCGAAAGTACGTTGAGTGGTGTGCTCCAAAATAGGACGTATAATATGGGAGCATAGCAGTAACAACTATCCCCTATTTCAAACATGTGGGTCAAACGGTTCCTGAGTTATCGTTGACCGTAGCCAAATGTTGACGGACGGACAGACGGACAGACGGGCGGACGTACGACGACCCATGGCAATAGCTCAGCTTGACGATGTCAAGGTGAGCTAACCGGACGGACGTATGACGTACGACGACCCATGGCAATAGCTCAGCTTGACGATGTCAAGGTGAGCTAAACATGATGCCCCATCTTCCTAGCATCTCTCAAGCAATTATTTATTAATTGCATATAGGCGAAAAAGAAACAAAATTATGCAAGTGACCTTTCAATCACAACAATTCACACACTAACAAAATCAATAACAACATCTCAAACTTATTAGGAGTTAAACCATCTTACAGCCTCGGCATTCACAATGCAATAAAGGCGGACTCATATCCTTATTTGTGCCATAGGCTCATCAACACATCGTGGTGTTATCTGATAGCATATACCTACACCGCTCGCCATGTGCGGGTGTAATGCTATAGACAAACATGTGTTCATGGCTTCATTTCAAAGCGATTTACTATACCATCTAGTGTCACTTTTCCATGACTATTTCACACACAAAATTGATTTTACACTGACAAAGGGCACCTTTCAGGCTATTAACTATGACGGGTGCGTTTTTTGCAGAACATTGCAAGAGTCGACTGTATTCACTCAAAAATACTGCGGGAAAAGCACCGCTCCTATTAAAAAAAAGCTTTACGAAAAAGATCGTTACATATCGGTTGCAGATTAAAGCTTCTAGTACGAAAATGAGCGTGGCATAAAAATCGATATAGATAAGTCAGTATTCTACGGGCCATAAATAGCGAGCTGCATTTCAAAGCAGGCTGCACGTACATATATACGTATATATATATATATACCTTTCAGTAGTGATATTCTCACGCACAATGCCATCGAGAAATCGCGCATAACGAATGGACGTTCCATCCGTAACATAGTGCAAGGTTTCTCGACTGCAGAGTGCACTGCTACAGTGCTATACCCATGCCGATGAAAGGGAGAGTGAACACGCACAGTCTGATTAGCTAGATACAGTTAGATATCACCCGACTTCCTACACGGCTAGATACTACCCGATCACATCCACCTGCAGATTAGCCTGTAGTAAATAGATCGCTACACAAACCCATCTACAGAGCAGTTGAGATCATGCGACCACGTCGAGGAAACAGCGTCCTCCAAATCCATACATTGTACATTGTATATATATATACGCTACCGACAAGAGCGCTCTAAATTAGACCTTCATTTCGCCTAAACATCCGAATCATTTGACGTCTACTTTCAACCTGCATTACACCGAATCACGAATAATATCCCCAACAACACTCACGAAAAACTAGCGAGGTCCATGTCAATTAACATGAGCTAGGAAGCAACAGGAAACAGCACAGCATCTAAGACACTGACAAATCCCTTAAGCCCGGCGCACACGTGAGTAATTTTACTTAAGGAATAAGTGGTAATGCAGATCACGTGACTGTGCGCAGCCAATACTGGGCGCACAATGATTTAAACGCATGCGCTGTGAGTACCAGTGTTGAGTAAATTTACTCAGCGCGCGCGCACACGTTGAGTAAAATGACGCATGAGTCGAAAATTATCAAACACGTTTGATATTGAGTAAAATGACGCATGCGTCAAATTACAACGAAAAATCCGCTGCGCACACCGTGAGTAAAATGAGCTCATATGCGTTCATTTTAACTTGAGTAAAATTACTCGCTGTGTCGCTCGGGCTTTACGCACGAGCCATGCATACGATGTGATTACGCACTATGATACTAGAGCACTGGAGAGACAGACCTCCGCCAAGGCAGCTGAGATTGTCTCACTG